TCAGATTTGCTGAGCAAATTGTGGTACATTTTTCATGTCAGATCACACTATGTCGAAAACACGAACAAGGCTGTGAGGGTATCGCGGTAAATTACCTATATTATCTCTCACCATAAACCATTTCATAGGTGTAGTTCTAATGGGGACTTGTTTGCAGCCTCCAGTATGTGTCCCAATCGAATTCCCTCCAATTCATGCCGAATACCGTCATTCGACTCGTCCATCGATAGAAGCTACCAAAATCACAGAATTACCAAAACCAATACCTACACCTAAGCAATATGGCTTTGAATCGGTCGAGCTGAATACGAGGACCACTGCTAGGTAACTGTTTAAAATCTCTTTGCTATATTATAGAGTTTGCATTCGAGAACTGGTCCCTAACAGCAAGTGGACCTTTCCTTTGCTGTTTGTGCCATATTCTAATAGATTTGTGACATTGCCACTTCTGGCTACGGTGATATGGATTTGACCAGAAACGTTGGAGACCAGTTCTTGCACACTATCGATTCTAAACTAGGGTATTGTATAACATAATCACAAACAAATCTTTTTTTCAGGCCAACCACCTCTACTCTTTCGAATAAAGTGAGTTCATCTGCAATTCAAATTTGAAAAGACTTTTTGATCCACAATCAAATTTCAAGGAATATTAGGTAGTTTTTTATCCTACTTACTTTAGAAGGGTTGGAGCAAATAAGGTAACAAAATGACTTCATTTCATTAATATAATTAACTTTAACAATTTTTGGAGAACTAATTAAGTTTGTAAAATTTTTTTACGCAGCTCTGATTTAATAAGGGCGTGACTCGGCCTTACTAAAGGTAAGCCCTATTTTTGTCACTTTTCACCTTCTCCCCTCCACCCCCGATGGGGAAATTCTTGTAACCACTACTACGCATAGGAGGCTTGGCTCTTGTGGCATGAGTGTAATTAAAGTGTCTTCTTCTTTTCAGAAAATAAAAATGCACTTCTTAAAATCAAAGTCAGTGATAATGAAGAGGCTTGGATTGTGGTGCACTAGAGCAGAATGATGTCATCTCTTTGTATCGTAACTCAGAATATTTTCAGCTAGAGGCTATAGCAAATTTCCACGGTCCCTTTGTTTCTCATCCTCCAGTTCCATTATCCAGGACAGAAGAAGAAGAACAGGAGGCAAACGCTATATCCAGTGGAGATACGCCAGAATTTGGCATTGAAATCGCCAAAGGGCCAGCATGTGAGAATTTAAAATTTCACTCTTTCCCTCTATCTACCTCCCTTTAGTTCATTACAAGCTCTATTATTTTCAGCACCTTATCATATGCTTCCCGAGGTGCCAAACGATTACCGAACAGAGACCCTTTCATCCGTTTATGATGTTCC